TGCGGGTGTTAAATGGCAGCTGCATGATGCGCTCTCCCTCTCACCATGTCTGCATCTTTTTTTATATCCACAGACACACAGACACACACACACACACACGCATACGTGCTTTTGACATGTTTAGTCCCCAGTCAGCCCCTTTAACATTTATGAAGAGGGGCCAACAGCCAATAATGCACCAAAGAGAAGACGGAAAACACTTAAATAATCTCCTGAGCCCCAAAGAGCTCAGTCTCTCTGTCTGCCAGGGAGAACTCATGCTGGATCTGAGGCCATGGGATTGTGTTAAGATTGTGCCTTTAAACTCACAAAGCTCACGGGACTGAGTATTGTGAGGAAGAAAATAAACAATATGGTTTTCTCTTAAGAGGGAGCCGGGTGTTTGCTGATTCATATGTAGGAGATAGGACAAAGAATTATGAAACATCCTCCAAATGTCTGTATAATTATTGGTTTTTGTGTTGTATCCCCATGCTGCCTTAGGACCAGTTGGAGCTTAGTGCTACAGACAGTGTAGAGGAGTCAGAAAGTGTTAAGAGATGCACAGAAACTCGGTTTGGTTCGGTTTGGTTTATATGAAAGGTTTTTCTTTTTTAACCTGTGTACATGAGAGGTCAAAGTATCTTGGAAAACTAAGCGACTGTGGTTGGTGAATACTGTAAATCAAAATAACACAAACATTAATGTTTACAATGTTTTGGACGAAACACTAATACTGTCAAGGCAGCGCAGGAGGTTTGCAGCAGTTTTTGTTGCATTGTGGCAAAATTAAATTAAATCCTCCAGACAGAAGAAACCTACGCTGCTGAGTTCTGACCTTCATATGAGTGGTTTTAACCCTGTCTGACATTCATAATCTCCATTCTCATCGTGCCTCAAATAGACAATAGGGGCTCAGGGGAATTAAAAAAAAGAAAAGAAAAACATGCCTGCTTCTTAACAGATAAAATCAGTGACTGTATTAGTGTAAGAGTGGTGTGTAACGGCTCTGTGTATGTGTGTTCTCGGAGCGGTGGGAGGGGGTTAACTGTCTGACACCTGCAGCTCTTCATACTCAAAATGCAAATCCAAACTCAACCCCCACCCTGGGTGACCCCTCCCTCAATCTAAAATCCAAGGTTACTGAGCAACGACTTTTGCAAACCTAGATTAGATTTAAATAATAGCACAAAAAGAGGTTTGACAGCAGTAAAGGCAACGTTAAACTGCTTCTCTAGAATTATAATGAGATCACTTCAGATAATATTCACAGCTCATATGAAGACCTGTAGACTTTGAAAATCCTTGAAGATGACGAGTCATAAGAACATTTTTAGAAACAAAAAGTCTCTCTTTGAATATTAGGTTATATTAGGTCATCCAAAACTCCCTTAGTGCACATCATCTTCAATTAACAGAAAATGACTGATGCAGTGGATCAAGATATAGTTTCATTTCAAGAATACTTTCCAAAAGTAGCCTTTAATAATCCCATTAAATGAGGCTGTCTGCTGTAACTCAGGATAAAGATGCCTTAGAAGACAATGACGTAAACTAGAAAAGCCAGGTTTGAGTCTGTGCACTTGTAACTGCAAAAACTCCAACATTTGCTCACTCAAAAGCAGGTGCAAGTCCCGGTGCCAGCCAGCATCTGCCTTACCGAAGTGCTCAAGTGAACAAGATGCTGAATCCCTAACTAGAAATAAGGTCACAGGCCTGCAGCTGAGCCTGACCTCTGACCTGGGTGGTGGGAGGGGGGCAAATAAAGTGGTGCATTATTTTCATTGTTGTGTGGTAAGTAAATAAGGAAAAGCACCTGTTTTACTGAGCGCACAAGTTGCACTCTGGAGGCGTTAGTGATGCTCTGGTGTGCAATTCAGCTCTCTGGTGCCACCCAGTGACTTCTTTTAATTCAAAAGTCAGCAGCAGAGAAAAGGGGAAGGACCACAACCAGGGGACCCTCCAGATAAACATTTAACACAGTTAAAAAGTTAAAGATGAAAAACATTGTTTCCCCCATTCTATAAATAAGAGCTTCAGCAAATATGGTTTTTGATAATGAACTAAATAGATAAATAATAATAATATTGTCTCCATGGTGTTAGATATACTACCATGAAGAATCTGTTTCTACGTCTAACATACACACATATACATACAGACTGAGTGTAAATGTAGGAATAATGAGTTTTGTAGTCTTACAACGGGGTTACTGATGCTATCCTGACAGGAGACGCCTTGAAGTGTCAAGTTGGCTGTGAATCTAAACAGTCAATAAGCGCCGCCAAGTGGCCACAAGGTGGTAATTAGTTATAGGCATATTCTTAGAGTGTTAACAAGAACAAAGCATTTCAGGGCGGGGGGACGGCAACTCAAACATTTATCAGAAATAAAATCTGTGCAGAAACGCTAACATTAGGCACAATTTTCAGAATCCTATTCCAAATTTATTATGTGAAAAGTGGAGCTGCATAAGAATTTAAATATAATTTTGTGTTAGATAGTTGCTTTGCAAAGTGGAAAAAAAACCTTATTTATGCTTTTAACTTCAGTAAAAGTTACAAACCTACTGAAGTATTATAATGGTGCACAAGTTGCTTCATCAATCAGTGGTGTATATATGTCGGTGCAGTGGTTTAGGACTGTTACCTCACAACAAGAAGGTCCTGGGTTTGAACACTGTGCGGAATTTGTATGTCCTTCTTGCTTGAACTTGTCATAAAGGCCTAGTGTAGTTTGTAAATTGTTTAAATTAATGTTATTGAACTTCTGTGCAGTGAATCTGGTATTGCCCTGTCTTATTGAACAGAAAGTAAGTCTTTGGGGAAAATATGTAAATGGGGTAATTTTGGAACACTATAGAGAACATGATACTCTGGTTGGTTAACATTTGCTCGGCAACCCCTCAGTGGAACAAATCCAGGTTGGCCAGTTTACCCGTTTTCAGGTAAGTTCATATCATCTCTTATGCAACAAGAAAAAATGACCTAAAACTATATTTTTGCTTTTTGACAAGTGGTATGCATTACTTAGAGAGTTACCCTAACCACAGAGAGTTAGGGTTAGGTGGGGCCATAGAGGTGGAGCAAGATTACATCAGTGGCTCTGCAGTGAATAACCTCTCCTCCCTACTAACAAAGCTGGACAAGTGACATTTTGAAATGACTACAGGGAGTGCAGAATTATTAGGCAAGTTGTATTTTTGAGGAATAATTTTATTATTGAACAACAACCATGTTCTCAATGAACCCAAAAAACT